CAGGCCTAAATTCCACCAAACATCTTTTGGAACATTTAAAAAGGGAACAGATAAAATATATTATAAGGTTCCAAAAGATTAGATTATCAAAATCTGCTAAATCGTGTAGAATTAACCCAAGACATAATGCACGCAGCTAATAAGGCAAAAGGTGTTCACACCAAATGATGAGACATTTTGGCTGTCAGTAAACACAAACAAACTTTTGTTGAATTACATTAGTTGATTTACACAGTAATAAAAAATTATGTAATTTTATTATTTAAGTATAAAATATTCAACATTTTATAGCAGTTTTTATAATAAATGATGAAACAAGCACAGTCCATAATAATGGACTTAAAAATTGCTGACCCTTTTATATCTATACTTAGTTTAAGTTTATACTTGATACTTTTTTCCTTGTTGTTCAAAGCCTCCCTCAGCACTTTAGACTTGCTTACCTGCATAACTTTTTCTCATATGCATGTCTTTATTTTAAGTTATCTTTTTAAATATTTTCTCATGTTGACATTCTTACGCAAAATTTACAGCTTTGATTAATGATCTGCATTTCATCCATGGTGCAGATTTAAACTACGACTGTTAACTTGTGAACCGAATTATGCAAGAGTGAATTTACAGCCAGAATCGCCTATTTCGAGAGCCCTATTTCATGACAAACTTTTATCGAATTAAGCGAAAACGAATATATGCCTCCTGTTACAACATATTCAATTAATTAATTAAGGTAGATTTATGAATATCTGGAATTCGATGTAGCATATGAACTTTGAACAAACTTTAGTAAAATCCAGAAGCGGATTTTCCTTTACGCAATAGTTCTAAATAGCATAATACATATAAATTACCGAATATTTAGTTAGCCATTCTGATAAACTCAAATCATTTTAATATTATTAATTGCATAGTTAAATTATAATTTCGCACGATACTTATCGAAATTAATAGAATATCAAATGCATTGAATTTAAGGAATGACGGCAGAAAATTGAGTAAGTATTATTTTTGCTTGTTTGAGAGCTTGAAAGAGAGAAAGGGTGTTTAGTCACCCTCCAAACAATAACTCGGCTTCTCAACTGATTTATGGTTCTAACTAAATTCACACTCGTTCAAAAGACATGTTAAGCTCACCAAGCAAAACAGACGTACGAGATTACGTAATAAGCACCATGCTTTTAATTCGGTCATTGCACCTTGATTAGCAAAGATTAACAGGTTCGGACGAATGGTTCCGTAACCTGATTTTATCGCGTACAGGCCTACACCTCATCAATTAAATCAGGATTACTTACGGACTAACGCAATCTCGGACATGCTTTCTACTTGGGCTATTAAGTCTTGTGTACAAACGCAAACACACACGAATATAAGAGAATTAACAAAACCTTACTGTATCCATCTATACCAGACTTTTTCTCGTTATAAGTATGAACAGCGTGTAGAAGAAAGGCGGTCAGTCTGCCAGACTTAGTGGTAGCTTGAGGCTTCTGCAAGAATGCATCCCAGCCCTGACAATGGTCGTCATATGTCGAACGAAAGCCCAGCTCATCTTCGCT